CTCTCTCCTCTCCTCTTCTCCCTTCTCCTCTTCTCTCCTCTCCTCTCTTCTCTTCTCTCCTCTCCTCTCCTCTCTGCTCTCCTCTCTGTGTTCACTTCCTGTAGTTCAGTCAGAGTGTCTCCTCCTTGTTGTCACATGACTGTTGGTCTCAGATGAATCAATCATGACTTCATAGTTTCACTGAGAAGCTCACAATGTAATGTTTTTACACAATCTGGTTGAAGTGAACTCTTTATTAGAGGAGGGATTTATAATGAAACTTGTAGAATAAAATGTTTCTGATGAAATATCACATTTTTAATCTTAGTTTCGGTTACTTTCTCTAATTGAAAGCATCCGTCACAAACGATGTGTTCAAGGACCGTCGGAACGATGAAAATCTGACGATAATGACAGTTTTTACAGCTTCTGGCTGATGAACGATATAGTTTTGGCGATTGTTTAAAGAAAACATGCTTTTCCATCCCACCGGTGGGTTCCTGTGTTCAGAGTGTTAAACGTGATTGAGAACCTTTTAAAGATATTATAGCGGTAGTGTTTATCCTATCAGGCTATTGTATTGAAGTGCACCATACCCGTCTACATGTTCTCATGTCCACCTTGCATACTATTTCATAGGTATCATCACATATATGGAAGTGCCAGCTTCATTTTCAATCTCCTAAACAGACAAATATGTGGCTCATATTATAGTGCTTTGTTTGTGTCGTGGGAGGTTTTCATAGTTCAGTCTGGGTCACAGTTCAAGATCATTTTTTTTTAACCGTGCAGCTCACCAACAAAGGTCCAAGTTTTCTCTTTCTCTACTTCCATTTTTATTTTTATTAACCAGGGACAGTGCACATTAATCAACATTTTAGTTTCCATCTCAATGTAAATGTCATTTTCGTCGGGCAGGTTATTACAATTTAGTGGCCTAATATTATCAGTACAATTCAACAGCAAACACTGAAGTACAGCACAATACTATACAGTACAATGAAATATGTAAATACATTACAAAAGTAGCAGATATGTAAAAACAAATCTATCTTATCCTTGACTGAAATCATTAAACTGCACTTCCACCATACAAGTCTACTAACAAGTAGCACACACTCCCATTTGTTTCCACTCAATATGATATGTTGTGTACATGATGAGTTAAGTGGAAAGTACAGGTTCATCAATGGTGAAATCTTAAGGTTGCTGTACAACTCAGCGTCTGCTCTGGAATGTAGGAAGTAAGCTACTCTGTAATTACCCCCTGGGCCCGCCTCTCCTGGCCTCTCATTGGTTAGCGAGAGAGTGGAGGCCTCCGTCGTAGCCAATGGCAAACTCCCACTTACTCCTTTGTTTTAATGAAACGGAGTCTGTGCCAGTTGCTGGAAAAGCTCCGGGGCGAGAGAATGGTTTTGGTGGTGACTGAAAAGAATGATCAGTTCCAGCAACCCCCATCTCACACACACTCTTTGAAACGCAGCGAGAAGGCCTCGCCACTCACCGGGTGCCTGCGGGAGGGGGGAGGGGGGAGGGAGGGAGAGAGAGGGAGAGAGGGAGAGAGATCTAATGGACCTCACATCTTTCTCAGGTTCTCCTCACAGTGGCAGGATGTTGTATCGTCATATTTCTCACGTACTTTGAGGTGTTATCTTCTTCCTTTTTAACATCGAACCATGTTACTTTATGAATGTATGGACCCAAAATAAGTAATTTAGCTGGGATTTAAGTGCAATAAATGGATCAAAAGGATGCTGAAACAACGACATAATGATGCCGATTTGTAAAATGTCTGAATGGATGCTCTGTTAGTTCTGTCCACAAGACGACAAGCAAATAACTTTTAAAATAGTTTTCTGTGTGGATCGATCGGTGCTAGGCTACGCTAACATTGTAGCTGCTCCATCAACTCTCAACATAACACCATACAGACGTAAATAAGACAGCGTAGTTTTCATTGTTTGTACCATATAGTTTATACACATAGTTTGGTCCGGTCTCTACTAACATGAGGTGTCCTAGAGCTCTATAGTTTGGGCCACTGATACGAACATGCTATGTTCAACTTTAATACAGCAATTTTCCCAGAAATGTCGCCATAGACACCCAGTTCACAATGCAAATATATAAATATTGTAATACTTTGATCAGTGGGTCATAGACTTAATCACCATTGTGTTACCTCCTTCAGCGATAGATAATGACTCAACAGACTTTAAGTCAGTGCGGTCTGCATTATTACCTCTCTGCTGAGTGTCTGCTGAAGGATTGAAGCTGCTCTCAGACAGACAGCAGTTGTCCTCTTGCCTCCATTGTTTCTGATGTAACCGTGACCTCAGCTGTGTGATCACAGCCTCCACAGAAGCCACACAGACGGAAGTGATGACTCAGCTCCTTTGACTGCTATCCGTCTTTATGAAGACATGTCCATGAAGAAATAACTCCCTGCCGCCACGTCATGAGAAAATACAACTGTAGCTCAGTAAGTAACCAGTTACACGTTACTGTGTTTGTACGTTACTGTTCTAGGAGTTTGCGACGCTAACAAAGGAGGTGAACGTGTGCCGGGAGCATCTTCTGGAGAAGGAGGAGGAGATCGCAGAGCTGAAGGCGGAGAGAAACAACACACGGGTGAGTAAGATATGCTGGTACACACACACACACACACACACACACACACAGCTATCCACCGTGCTCACTCCACTTTCTGTTTTGGGTAGAGGTGGTTGTCACAACACACCTTGACAAATCGGTTTCTATCCTATAATCCGAACCTTTGTCACAACGTTGTGGTCGTTGCAAATTGCACAACCGTCGAAATATTTCAACCACTGACAATAAACTTCATCACAGACGTCTGTTTGTGCTGAGTAGGAGCTGTTTACTCTTCCACACTCGTCCTACTTAAGATGTTTCTTTTATCTTTTAATATCAGAAACATGTACATAATTAAACGGTAAATTCATAATTTGAAATATTGAAAGTTGGACTCTCAAATGTTGAAGCATCGTCACACGAACACGTGAAAAAATGAGCTTACCTTTAAGAAAAGCCCCTTTTTAAATGCTTCAAAAAGTTTAGTTCATCAAGTCATTATGATTCAATCTCCTGGAATCAGGAATCTCTCCTTTAGTGATTTATGGAAGTAGAAAAGGTTTCTAGATGCTCCATACGTGAGCACATGAGCTATGCGGTTTCTCACCTGTTAACGTGGTCTTTTCGTGGTCCAGCTGCTGTTGGAGCACCTGGAGTGTCTGGTGTCTCGTCACGAGCGCAGTCTGAGGATGACGGTGGTGAAGAGACAGGCTCAGTCTCCAGCGGGGGTCTCCAGTGAAGTGGAGGTCCTCAAAGCCCTCAAGTCACTGTTCGAACACCACAAAGCCCTCGACGAGAAGGTGTGTGTGCGTGTGTTTGTCAGTCAGAGAGACAGACGGAGAGAGAGAGACACAGACAGACAGTGTGCACGTGTAACATGCACATGTTTGGTAAACAAAGCAATAGGAGACCTAAAGATGTGTTTGTATCACCCGTGTTGCAGGTGAGAGAGCGACTACGCGTCGCCTTGGAAAGATGCAGCACGTTGGAGGAGCAGCTCACCATGTCGCACAAAGAAGTAAGAAAAATATCTGAAGAGAGTTAATGAAAAAAACCACTTGACTCAAATCCAATAGCAATACAACTTAGGAAATATCCATAATATGGTGCATTCACATGACGTAGGAATGTTTGCTGGAACAACTTGACACCCTGAAGTACCCGACTCAAACCCTTTAAGATGATGACATCGTTGTTATTCTCCTCATTTGTCCTTGTGAGTGAAACATTTAGGTTTACATTTACCAAACTGAACATTCCAAGTTCACCTCCAGAATACAAACACTAAACAGATGCTTCCCTCTGCTGTTGAGCTACGGACATTATGTCACTCGTGCTTTATTGGGTGCTTTTTCTGCACAGTACAACCCAGTTGTCTTCTTCCTTTAATTCTTTTTTGAGTGTTTTTTTAGGTGGATTTCATGTTTAAAACAGGAAGTGAAATGTAGCAAAAGCGCTGATTTTAAGCGGTTTATTCAGGTTGTTGATCTTCACAGAACTCTAAAGAGAAGAGCGACCATGTTGTGACCGTAACTGATCGCAGACTTGATGTAGGAATGAATGACGTGGTCCTTTTTAGATTTATCTGTGCCGACACAAACTGAATGGAGACAGTTTGAAGGATCAAAGTGTTTTTATTTCTTTATGTTAAACTAGATTGAGAGACTTTGAGACTCCAGGAGAATGTGACCAACAGATCAACGCAGCTTCGCTCCTCATTGACCCATTTAAAGACATCGCTCCTGCACTGGATTCCTATTTACATATTTGAGTGTTCACACTGAATTCTAGAGAGAACTCTCCCCCCCCCCCACACACACACACATGTGCACATGAATGCAAAGAGGTATTTAGTCCACTGTGTATTGAATGGGATTAAGATTGACAAAAGAGCCAGAGGATCATTTGGAAGTGTCCTAGATTTCCTCTCTGCTTTATGCTGCAGTCATCTTTTTTTCCTGGGACCACACACACACACACACATACACACACATAAAATCTACCAATCTGCTTTTATTAGAAACTTTACTTCCTAAGGCAAGGCAGCTTTGTGCAGTTTTTTTCCTCCCGTTTGGCCATTTGGCATCGACTATATCTGTCTCTGCAGCGTTTTCATGGGAGTTTGCAACCAGAATAGTTGTGGTTTGAACTCAAGGCTCTGGACACACACACACCCATACACACATACACACTACTTGCTTTACTGAAATGGAAAAAGAAAACATGACAAATGATAAAAGGAATCCGACTCCTTTGTTGCTGCTGGTTCAGTGGTTAACCAGCTACTTGTTGAGGTGGTTTTGGCGTTAATGAGCTGCTGTTCTCTCTAGTTGTCTTACCTCAGGGAGCAGAGCGGCATGAAGAGAGGGCTGGCAGACGGAACCAGTGAGGTCAACCACAACTCTGAAAACACACCGAGCACTAACGGCAAGGTGAGGGCACTCTGAGAGGGTCAGACCCTGCTGCAGTAACATGAGAGGTTTTCTAAAGGGAGTCTGGTGCTCAGAGACACTACCACTTTAGTCCACAGGGACCAACAGAATCAACACAAAATTAAAGATATTAAAGTTCCTTGTAGTAACTTCAAACAACAGGAAATCACAATTATCATATTGATCAGTCTCAATTGTTAAAAGAATCCCAAAATGCCCACAGTTGATTCTGGTGTTTTCTACGATGAAGAATCTTAGTTTCCTGATTTCTTCCATTTCCCTTCCAGATGTTTAAAGAAGGTCAATCGGTTCAATGGAATGAGCTGATGAATGAAATCAGTCCTCCGTGTGTGTGTGTGTCCTGTTCGTCCTTTGTGCCAACACGGTTACGTTCTCCCACAGCGGTCGTCGGACGGCTCTCTGAGTCAGGAGGAGGAGTTGGGTCTGGGCTTTGTGAAGGTCAGCGAGCTCCAGGACGTGGTGGACCGTCAGACGTCTGATCTGGGCCAGATGAAGGAGCGCATGGCCGCTATGGTGTCACGCATCAACGAGCTGGAGGAGGACTTGGACACGGCCCGGAAGGACCTCATCAAGTCCGAAGACATGAACACGCGGCTCCAGAGAGACCTGAGAGAGGTAAGGAGGGCTGCATGGAGTGTGAGCTCCTCTTTATAATACACTCCTCTAAATGTATTTATTAGTTTCTTTATTTTCATGTCATGCACCCAAAGTGCTCGACCCTCATTGGTTTACAAGACACCAAAAACAATACAGTTACATTGTCAAACATCATTACAAAACTACAGGCTCGTCTTAAACTAAATATTCTGCCTTTTATCTCAAACTTGGCAAATAAAATCTGCATTCGGGCAAAATAAATCAACATATATGGAGATGATTTTACTGAAAATTTCAGCTTTTATGACCTTCTAGACAGGACCGTAAAACAAACAAAGATGAACCTCATTCTCAATTTCACCTAGATCACACAACAACAAACAAACCTGTGGAGGAAGAAGTACTAAGACCTCTTGCATATAAATACCACAGTGAAGGTTCTGCATTCACAAATCTTCCTTCAGTTAAAGTGTGCAAATATATAATCAAGTAAATGAAGTATAAAAGTAAAAGTGCTCATCGTGCATCCAAATGGGCTCTTTAGTTGTTACATTATTATTTATTGTAATATTAGATTATTACTACGTGTGAGATGCATTTCAGCTGGCTGCAATAGAACTCATTTTATTCATTTTCATACCATTGGGTGGTTAATTCTTCTTAAAAACAATGCTCTGTATTTCATTTACTTGTTATAAATATACGTATATTTCCCTCTGAAATGTAGTGGAGTAGAAAGAAAAAGAAAACCGTACTAAAGTACAGGACTTGATACACACACACAATAAAAAGAAGGTAAACCTGAAGACCAGATGTTTGTGTGTTTAGTCGATGGCTCAGAAGGAGGACATGGAGGAGAGGATCACCACGCTGGAGAAGCGCTACCTGGCCGCTCAGCGGGAGGCCACCTCAGTCCACGACCTCAACGACAAGCTGGAGAACGAAGTGGCCAACAAGGACTCTCTCTACAGACAGGTGGGTCCATGATACTGGACTACAAGCTGCAATGATGGATCACAGGTCATGAAGCCTGCATCATACCTAAAGATTTCAGTCCTGGTAGATTTACATTTGAGTGAAAACAAAGGAATTGTATTCACAGGCTGTCAGTCTGTACTAACATGCTATAGTTCAGAGTTTTTCACACACTTTTGTGTGTATTCAATGGAGAAATATACGTAATACAGCTTTGTTTTTTTCTTCTGTGGCCGAAAACATACAGTTTGTAACACTGCAAACAGAAAAGCATGTTTTCTTTAAACATTCGCCAAAACTACATCGTTTATCGAAGCCAGAAGCTGTAAAAGGATGTCATTAGCGTCAGATTTTCATCTTTACGACGGTCCCTGAACATGTTATCTGTGACAAACACTTACGTCATTGTGATATTTCATTAACAACATTTTATTCTTCATGTTCTCATTATAAATCCCTCCTCTAATAAAGTGTTCACTTTAACCAGATTGTGTAAAAACATTAAAGTGTGAGCTCCTCAGAGAAACTATGACGTCATGATTGATTCATCTGAGACCAACAGTCATGTGACAACAAGGAGGAGACACTCTGACTGAACTACAGGAAGTGAACACAGAGAGGGGAGGAGAGGAGAGAATAGTTTAATATACGTTCCACATTTTTAAATCAGTTAAGATCTGTAATCTCATCACACCCACAAAGCATCCTCACATTCTGATCAGACTGAGTTGACGAGGCGTGTGGTGATTTCTGGGTGTTTGAGTCTCAGACAGGAATCTCCTGCAGTTTCTTCTTTGGCTGATGACTTCCTGCTGTATTCACACGCTGAATAAGAAGCCTCACAGACTCTTTATGTCCTCACTGAGATGGAGACGTCTCTCTCCTCTTTTCTTCTGGCTTTTCAGTCCGTCTTTGTGTCTTTATGAATCCTCCCTTCCTCACTTCCTGCCTCACCCATCCCTTCTCCCTTTGTCTGTCTCTGTCTCTCTCTCTCTGACTCTCCCTTTGTCTGTCTCTCTGTCTGTCTCTCTCTCTGTCTCTCCCTTTGTCTGTCTGTCTATCTGTCTCTCTCTCTCTCTCTGTCTCTCCCTTTGTCTCTCTCTGTCTCTCTTTCCGTCTCTCTCGAAAATCCAGAGTCCAGGATGCAGCACAGCGTCTTGTACGCGCTCGCTAACAACTGATAACTTTGTGTTTTTGTTTCTTTCTTGTAGACGGAGGACAGAAACCGGCAGCTCCAGGAGAAGCTGGAGCTGGCGGAGCAGAAGCTGCAGCAGACCATCCGCAAGGCGGAGACTCTGCCCGAGGTGGAGGCAGAGCTGGCTCAGAGGGTGGCTGCCCTCACCAAGGTACCAGCACCTTTCAACCTTTACTTTATTTTAAACTATGAAATACTTTATCAAAAAGAGACCTCTGAAAAGTCCCAAACCTTTGTTCGAATCCTCTCTTGACACGTCTCTTGGAAAAGAGATAAGAATGAATTAACAAGATTATTTTACTTTGACATCTCAACAACAACAACAGCAGCTGCCGAGGAAGCCTTTTGTTTACGTTGCTCTGAATATCCACAGGGAGATATTTTTAGAGATTTGATGTTTTTATCCATTTATAGTTTGAGTCTTTGTCTCACATGCTGCTGCTGAATGACTTGGCTCCTTATTTGTAACAGAACTGGCTCACAGTACATCTCTGAAATCCAACAATCATTCTTATTGTCATCTGAGTGTTTTTGTTTCAGAGTTCATCAGGAAGCAGCCGCCTCCTTTCACATGTTTTAAATCATGTACTCTCTGTCTGAGGGTACAGTTGATTTGATTTAATTAGACACTTTTCTCCACCCTCTCACTACTCCATCAGTCGCTCGGTCCATCTTCTGAAGTCTAACGTAACATCCCTTATTGTATTGTTCCTCCTCTGACGCAATACGTCATCTGTGTGTGTCCATGTTTTATCATCAATCTCAGAAATTAACCGTCACTAAGTTCACGTTCCGCTGTTGAACCGGCAGCTTTCTGTCCATTTCTCTCACTCTATTTAAATCAGTGAATGTACGTTGAATCCCTCTTTTCTCCTCTTTGTCCTTTCTGTCTGTCTTCATGGCGTCCCTACCGCCTCCTTGTCAAAACGTTAGTGTGTTCCATGTGGCTCTAAAGGCTCCAAGACTCAGAAGAAGGTAGACCAGCTCCCCTCACAGACCTAGACCTCCTGGATAGTGGATGACTTTTCTTCTCTCACTGAACTTCACCAGGCCAAGACAAACAAACTATTCACATGTCCAGAACCACAGAAGAAACAAATGTTCCTTCAGATAGAACTAATCGTAGTATAGCTCCGGTTCCAGTTCATCCTTTACATGAGTGCCTGGTGAAGTGCAGTGACAATCTATCAGAAAGCTTTGTGCTTCATGTGCTGGTGAGCTGTGTCCATCGCTGCGTCATGCTGGAACCTCTTTCTTCTCAAACACAGAAACTCCTCCTAATGTTTGCTGTCTAACACAAACAGGAAGTGGACGCTGGTTTGCTCAAAGACTTGAGGAGAAACTGGTCCCGCCTGTTGGCCAATAGAGCAATAATACCTGTTGTTACTGGTTATAGTTTTCGACAGTTAAGTTGAGCTCTTACATTAGCACATGTAGAAGTTTGCTTCCCAGGCTGTCGATGTTGGTGACCCCCCCCTCCTTTTGAAGGACTTGACCTTGACTTAAACCTCAAACGGGGCCAACTTTTGGCCTTTTTTCTCCTCAGAGAGGTCCTTCTCCAGGATGTAGGACCAACCAGTTCAGATCAGAGCCTAGCACTAGAGACACTGACCACGTGTACATGCACACTTATATTCTACTGGTATTCAGAAACTATTGTCTAGTTGGTTTGTGTAGAACGCACACAGCTGACTGTAAACAGGCAAGAAAAACCCCAAAATGATATTCAACACATGTTGTGAATGCGCTGTCGACGCGTCTGAAGAATGCTCCTAAATCCTGATTAGAAATGACGCTTAATCGCCATATCCAAACCAAATATATATGCAGTTTCTATGACTCGTATAATTGTCATATTGTGAATTATTAATGTGCATGTTGACGTAGGCGCTGAGAGGATTTAATATACTGAGACATGAAAGTTTTTCTTTTATCGTTGTTGATTTTCAGGCAGAGGAACGACACGGCAATGTGGAGGAGAGACTGAAGCAGCTGGAGGCTCAGCTGGAGGAGAAGAACCAGGAACTGCTCAGGGTGAGGAAGAGGAGGAACCTGCCCTCACTACACTGAGACGGTCTGAACGTGAACCTTTCAATTAATAAATCACGTCTTTCTATTCGTACAGGCACGGCAGCGAGAAAAGATGAACGAGGAGCACAACAAGCGTCTGTCGGAGACGGTCGACAAGCTCCTCTCGGAGTCCAACGAGAGACTCCAGCTTCACCTCAAAGAACGGATGTCTGCTCTGGAGGACAAGGTGACGGGACACCAGTGTGGTGGTGGTGATGATGATGATTGACAGAGGCAGACGGGCTAAAGGACACTGCATCCTTTGCCCTGATGAATATTTAATATCGTCCTCATACTACGTGGTTCGCAGCTTCAGCTTTAGCTTGTTTTCTGTCTCTTCTCAGAATGCCCTGATCAGAGAACTGGAGCACACCAAGAAGCTGATTGAGGAGTCTCACCATGAGAAGGTGAGGGGTTGTTCAAAGTGTTAGCTGACTCCTCCTCTGTGTCTATCGTTATACTAGTACTCTTATCAATACTGCTTATCGATACTCTTATCGGCTCTTTTTGATTATTCTATGAGGGAAGAAAGACAATTAATTCAGAAAAGAATCCACATGTCTTTATTATTCTTGTATGTAAACAAATAGTCTTTCTTAAGCAGCAATACAAGAAGTTAAAATCTTTAAAATACACTCTCAGCTCAACAGGGCATCCCTAATCTGTGGCTTCTCATAACGCGTCCTTATTGTTTGATATGTCCTCTCCTACAGGAGCAGCTCCTGATCCAGATTGAGACCATGAGGGCGGAGAGCGAGCAGGGGAGGAGCCGGAGTAACTCCTTACTACACGGGTAAGCCAGGTGTCGAGGTGTGGAGTTCAGGGATTCACCCTCTAGACGCGGACTCTTTCTGATTGGTTGGTTTGATTCTTTTCTTCCCCCAGACGGTCTCAGCTGGGCAGCACTCCAGATTTCAGGTACCCCGTGTCTGCTTCCTCCATGATGGACAGTAACTCGGACCACTACGGCAGCGCTCTGGTGCTGAGGCGGCCTCAGAAGGGGCGCATGGCGGCGCTCCGGGACGAGCCGTCCAAGGTGAACTCCTTGCGTTTAATCTGAGCTCAATGAATTCTGAGATTTCTATTTCCTCTACTTGCGTTAAAGGAATGCAGCAGGAGCTTATAGCAGATCAGTAGGGCTGTGCCAAATGTCCCTCATCACCATGAGAAAGAAAGAAATCCTCAAAACTAATTTTTTGAATTACTGAATTACTTTAAATAGGAACCAGCTGAGCAGCATTCAAATGTTGATTTAATGAACAAAGCTTTGAAGCTTCAAACTATTTGTTACAGCCCTACGGATCTGTCATTTACTTCTCTTGTTAACACATTGAACAGTTTATGCAGCATAAGCACCGTCTAGTCCAAAGAGGAAGTGACAGACGGACGTCTTTGTGTCCAGGTTCTGTACTTGGTGAATTCCTATTCGCTGTTCTATAACTTGAAAGGTGTTCTTGAGATCTCTCCCTCTTGTTGAAGTCATTTACTGGAACATGCTCTCTTTGTGCTGTTTTCCTTCCTCCACCTGTTTCTGTCTAATGTTTGAGTTATTTCTGATGATTTTCTTCTTCTCCGTTTCTCTCTGTTTGCTTCCACTCTGGACTTCAGCGACATGTAAGTCAGTGTGGTGGAGAGAACAGTGGAAGTTACTTGTGTGGTGCATTCATGACAAATACTCAAGTACTCAGCTAATGTCCACTTCCCTCTCATATCCTGCTCTCTTTCCCTGTCTCTTTTATCCTTTTTCTGCCTTCGATATCTGATTCCCTCTTGGTATCTTGACCTCCGTTCCTCTCCCCTTCCCTGTTTCTTACCTGCGTGAATGAATCCAGGTGCAGACTCTGAACGAGCAGGAGTGGGAGCGCATGCAGCAGGCCAACGTGCTGGCCAACGTGGCCCAGGCCTTCGAGAGCGACATGGACGCCTCGGACCTGGAGGACGATCGAGAGACCATGTTCAGCTCGGTGGACATGCTGTCCCCTGGTGGCCAGGCGGACGCACAGACACTCGCCTTAATGCTGCAGGAGCAGCTGGATGCCATCAACAATGAAATAAGGTACCGGCACACCAAACTGTGCTTCACGTAACGCTGTCTTTTCTATCAACATGTCTGCAGGTTGTCACGCCTCTCGACTGCTCCTCTATGGAAACAGAACCATCATGACTAGAAGTAGAGAGAACTAGAACATGTCTTCAGTGCAGAATAACACAGTTATGATGTCATAAATCATGAAAAAATAAATAAAACGCAAGTTTAATTTTGATAATTAATGATAAAAATTGGAAAACAATGGAATCTATATGTCCAACGTGTTTCAAGTGGACACGAGTGTTACCAATGTTGGGGAAAAAATGGAGGCTCCACCCGCTATAAATATAGAACTATTTTAACATCCTCTACTTCCAGCCTCTCCTCTCTCCTCACTCCACTCCTCTTCTCTCTCCTCTCTCCTCTCTCCGCTCTCCTCTCTCTGTCTCTGTCTCTCTCTCCTCTCCTCTCTCTTCTGTCCTCTCTCCTCTCTCCGCTCTCTCCTCTCCCTTCTCTCCTATCTCCTCTCTCCCCTCCCCTTCTCTCTCCTCTCTCCTCCCCTCTCCCTTCTCTCCTCCCCTCTCCCTTCTCTCCTCTCTCTCCTCTCTCCTCTCTCCCCTCCCCTTCTCTCTCCTCTCTCCTCTTCTCTCTCCTCTCTCCGCTCTCTCTCCTCTCCTCTCCCTTCTCTCCTATCTCCTCTCTCCCTTCTCTCTCCTCTCTCCTCCCCTCTCTCCTCTTCTCTCTCCTCTCTCTGCTCTCTCCTCTCCTCTCTCCTCTCCTCTCTTCTTTCCTCTCCTCTCCTCTCTCCTAGTCTCTCTATCCTTTCCTCTCTCTATCCTCTCTCCCCTCCCCTCCTCTCTCCCCTCCTCTCCTCTCCTCTCCTCTCTCTTCTCTCCTCTCCTCTCTCCCCTCCCCTCCTCTCTCCCCTCTCCTCCTCTCTCCTCTCTCATCCCTCCTCTTCTCTCTCCTCTCCTCTCATCTCTCCTTTTCTCTCTCCTCTCTCCTCCCCTCTCCCCTTCTCTCCTCTCTCGTCTTCTCTTTACTCTCTCTCCTCCTCTCTACTCTCTCTCCTCCTCTTCTCTCTCCTCTCTCCTCTCTCCTCTCCTCTCTCCCCACCCCTCCTCTCTCTTCTCTCCTCTCCTCTCCTCTCTTCTCTCTCCTCTCCTCTTGAACACATGCTTTTTTTGGGGTTCAGAGGGTGAAACTCCCTGTCGTCCCTCTGTCATCACAGAATGATCCAGGAGGAGAAGGAGAACACAGCCATCCGGGCGGAGGAGATTGAGTGCCGGGTGGGCAGCGGCGAGAGCCTGGGAGGACGTTTCCGCTCCATGAGCTCCATCAACCCGTCACTGTGTCCGGGCTCCTCGCTGGGCGGCTCTCCTCCAGGCTCCGGACACTCCACCCCCAGACGCAGCCCCAACAGAGAACTGGACCGCATGGGCGTCATGACCCTGGTAAAGCCTCCATGTATCCCATACGGCGGCACTGAATAGCTTGTTTGACTTCATTTAGTGTTTGTTTCTGTCATGACATAAGTCCAGGAAGTCGTATTTATTTGTAGTTGTAGGTGCTTCCCCGTGTGTTCATGCCGTCTCCTCTCACCAGTGTGGTTACTGTACTAACGTGTGTATCGAGTGTGTAACCTTGTGTGTGTGTAACTGCCCCTCGCTCGTAGCGCTATAGCTATGACCCCTACGTCATCCAGAGCTCCCTCTCCCAGCAGACAGTCACTTACCTGCCTTATGGTGCGACTGGCTTCAGCACCCCCCCCTCACGCCTGTAGCTATGCGCCCTACTCTCAGGTACCTGCAGCTCTCTCTCCACAGCCGGGTGGGTGCAGTCGGCCTCTTCCTCTTCCGATTTTTTTTAAATACACACAGGACAACTTTTCCTTTTACTGTGTGCTAAACGCATCACTTTGCTCCCAGAATAACTTGTGATTGCACATTTGTCGAGATCATATTAAGAATTATATATATCTATATATATCTATATCTATATCTATCTATCTATCTATAGATATAGATATAGATATAGATATATATGAGTGATTGTGGCTAAGTGGATAGCAGGGCCGTCTTTCAATCAGAGGGTCGGCGGTTCGAGCTCCGGCTCCGCTAGTCGCATGCCGATGTGTCCTTGAGCAACACACTTAACCCCAAAATTGCTCCCGTAGCTGTGCCTACGGTGTCGAAATGTGATGGACTCAGAATTGTAAGTCGCTTTGGATAAAAGCGTCTGCTAAATGACTGTAATGTAATATACAGTGGGTACGGAAAGTATTCAGACCCCTTTAAATTTTTCACTCTTTGTTTCATTGCAGCCATTTGCTAAAATCAAAAAAGTTCATTTTATTTCTCATTAATGTACACTCAGCACCCCATCTTGACAGAACAAAACAAATGTAGAAATTTTTGCAAATTTATTAAAAAAGAAAAACTGAAATATCACATGGTCATAAGTATTCAGACCCTTTGCTGTGACATTCATATTTAACTCACATGCTGTCCATTTCTTCTGATCCTCCTTGAGATGGTTCTACTCCTTCATTGGAGTCCAGCTGTGTTTAATTAAACTGATTGGACTTGATTAGGAAAGGCACACACCTGTCTATATAAGACCTTACAGCTCACAGTGCATGTCAGAGCAAATGAGAATCATGAGGTCGAAGGAACTGCCCAAGGAGCTCAGAGACAGAATTGTGGCAAGGCACAGATCTGGCCACGGTTACAAAAGAATTTCTGCAACACTCAAGGTTCCTAAGAGCACAGTGGCCTCCATAATCCTTAAATGGAAGAAGTTTGGGACGACCAGAACTCTTCCTAGACCTGGCCGTCCAGCCAAACTGAGCAATCGTGGAAGAAGAGCCTTGGTGAGAGAGGTAAAGAAGAACCCAAAGATCACTGTGGCTGAGCTCCAGAGATGCAGTAGGGAGATGGGAGAAAGTTCCACAAAGTCAACTATCACTTCAGCCCTCCACCAGTCGGGGCTTTATGGCAGAGTGGCCCGACGGAAGCCTCTCCTCAGTGCAAGACATATGAAAGCCCGCATAGAGTTTGCCAAAAAACACATGAAGGACTCCCAGACTATGAGAAATAAGATGCTCTGGTCTGATGAGACCAAGATTGAACTTTTTGGCATTAATTCTAAGTGGTATGTGTGGAGAAAACCAGGCACTGCTCATCACCTGCCCAATACAATCCCAACAGTGAAACATGGTGGTAACAGGAGAGGAAACACCCAGTGGGCTGTTACCTCTGGTGCTCCGGTCCTTCTTTAAGGGCCACGTTGGTCTGATCTGCTGTTTGTCCCTCTGGGTCCTGCAGTACAGTCTGTGTACAATACAAAGACATTAAGAACACCAGTAACTGAGCAGCCTGCATTATGAAATACTCGTGTTAGCTCCAGCTCCTCTGTTTGCATCCAGACGTTTGAAGATGCAACACTGAGCTGTGGCGGAGAGTTTAGTTCTCGTTGGTTCTTTCCCGTTAATGCCGGAGCTGCTGTTCCTCATCAGTCAGTCCTTTCAGGAATTTGTGATCTTGCGGTTGAAAGAATGAACTCAAGTCCGAGCAGAGCTGCACTGGTTCAGTGTTTGTGAGATTTACGGGGAGGAGAAAGGAGCGCTGCTTTGGGTTCATGAGAAACGACCGTCGGCCTCAATGTAGTTTAGATTAATAACATTGAATATCTGTGTACAAAGCATCAGTGAAACCAGTCGAAATGTCCTGGAACAAGAAGGAAAGGAACATTTTTGGTGATAAAATGAATTCCCTCTTCCTGTTTCCTCTTTATATCTCTCTGATCTCTTCCCTGCTCCGGCCTCAGTGCGTCACATGAGGAGAGGAAATGACTGATTAGCTATTTTTCCTCCTGGGAGCAAAAAGAAAAGGAGCATAGAAATGTGGCACGCTGATGGTTTATTTGCTCTGCTAATGCCAGGCCGGTGAGGAATGCAGGGGTGGGGGGACCCTCCTCCTCCCTTTTTAGGTGCTCAGTGGAAAATATGACGAACATCTTCGGCTTCATAAATCCAGGTGTCGCACTCGTATCACGTTAAAGCAAAACTATAACAAGCTCAGCAACAGGAGGTCTTAAGAATCTACAGATCGATTACAGGATATTCAACCTCTGCTTCTTTATAATACTTTTAATGTTTGTACAAAGACAACGGAGTTCGGTTTGCAGCTTTCTGCCAGTAACATCTACAGTGTATGTTCACGTCGATGAGTTACCTCGTTGTCTTTTTGATTCTTCACAGTTCATTTTGTTTGTTCGCGTCCGTCTGCGTATAAACAAAGCTTTAATCATAAGTCGCCTGCTCGCTGCTCAGATACCTCGAGTTACTCAAAGTGGTTTCCTCGAGACCTTGACTCCTCTTCCTCCCTCCAATCTCCTTCCTCTTCCTCCCTCTGATCTCCTTCATCAGCTTCAGAGCCGGGCTGCACCCGTCCCGACCTTCAGCGTGGCGCTTTTGCAGTGTCTCCTGCAGACCTCGTTTTTCAAAGAACTGCACGTCTTTACTGCGCAATTATAACTGACGATTTCTCTTGGTGTGTGTGTGTGTGCGTGTGCGCATGGCTTTGATCCGCCGCCGGTCTGTTGTGCGTCTCACTAACTGCTTTTTTTTTTTTCTCCTCTCTCTCTTTCCTCTGCCACGCTTCAGCCTAGTGACCTGCGGAAGCACCGCAGGAAGGTAAACTAGAGCGCTGCTGTAGTGTGATCCTCAATGTTCAGCGTCTTCATCTCATCCAGTGCGACGCTAAACTCCTCCGCACGCTCACAAATAGCACCTTCCACATCCAGAGGTGTTCACACCTTTAGTGGCATTATTGTACTTCCCTCGGCCACCGTGTGCTTTAGGTCTGCTGTTCTATTCTGGAGCTGAAACGATTAGTTGATTAATTGCTCGGTCGATCAAGAGAAAGTTCATATGCAACAAATTTTGATAATTTATTATTTGTTTGAATATTTTTTTCAAGCAGAAAGAGTTTCTCATTTGCTGGTTTTTGCTCATCAGATGTTTAAACAGCGTTTTATATACGAGTCAAATGAGAATTTTGGGTTTGGATAAATTCTGCAATTTGTAACATTAAATCCGGTTCAAAACGTCTTAACCCTAAAGAGGACAGAAAGCCATCAATTAAAACATTAAAATGATATTCCATTTTCACTGAGTTAATGTTTTACATCAGTCCCGATCATAACTACCAAACACTCATTCATTCTAAGAACTTTACCCCTTTAAATTCCATGACGTTACATAATGTCTGTGTCAAAATAAAACACAAAAACTTAATTATTTTCTGTAAATGATCATTTATCTTCTCAAACATTAGAAACTCTCTCAAATCTGGTGGAAAATAGTCAAAACTAAAATGTGAAACCAGGACTCTAGATTTAAATATAACAGAATTCATGATCTCGTTCTGATTAACGGCTGTAGGGTAACATGATGGTGCTTTGATGGGTTTAAATGTGAGTGTCTGTATGTTGACGGCTCTTTATTATAGACTTATTACAGGAAGGTTGAACTAAAAAAAAAACAAACTGCATTAACCGCACAATTAAAGATTAAAAAGCCCCGAAGTGATGCATCAGAGTTTACATATATGACATAATAATACATATTTGGAGATGCATAGAAAGTCACCCTGACAGTATTTTAATTCTACATTTTTACAAATCTAATATGTCCCGAAAAAGTATAGATAACATGGAACACAGAAAACATTTTAAATCCAACATTAGGTGAAACTGGTGAGGATGTCGTGGGTCAGTTGGTCTCACCCAATGAGCAACGCTGAAGCTGCTTCTATGGTCCTGCTATCGTGTAGTATTTACAGTTAACTACCCCGTATCAGTATATTGTGTGTGTGTGTGTGTGTGTG